TGTTATTGAATGGAGGTCGGGTCCAAATTCAGCGAATAGGTGAGGGTCTACCGCTCTTCGTTAATACCGTATTTGGGTGGATAGCAGCTGGCAAGGCGGATTTGGGCAGTCTGAACCCAGTTCCATGCTGCCACGTGTCGGTTGACCCGACTCTAGGTGAGAAGATCGAACGGTTCTGGAAAATTGAAGAGATGCCAGATGTACCACGGCGGACCAAAGAAGAGCAGGATTGCGAGGAGCACTTTGAAGCTACTTTCTCTAGAGATGCCACGGGGAGGTACGTTGTGCATCTGCCAAAACGAATGGGATTTGAGCGGATGGTCGGTGAATCAAAGGATATGGCTGTGCGAAGACTGGTGCAACTAGAACGGCGGTTGGACAAGAACGAAGAATTGCGCAGGCGTTACAACGAGGCGATGCAGACGTATTTAGACCAGAAACATATGGTGATGGTACCGGAGGAGGAGCTAAAGCGTGATAAACGGCTCTCTTGTTACCTGCCTCATCATCCGGTAATCAAAGAGTCGAGTGCGACCACGAAAGTTCGGCCAGTTTTCGACGGTTCGGCTAAAACAACATCCAACTACTCTCTGAATGATGCTTTGAAGACGGGTCCAGTGATTCAGGATCCGTTGTTCGATCTGGTTCTGTGATTCCGAGAGTACTTTATCGCTTTAGTTGGTGACATTGAGACACATTGCAGGTGAAGGTACATTTTGATGACGCTGCTCTTCTGCGGATTTTGTGGAGATTTCCGTCAAACGAGCCCATAGCAACTTACGAGATGTCCAGGGTCACGTTTGGTTTGGCGCCATCATCGTTTCTTGCAACGAGGGGTTTGCAGCAGCTGGCTCACGACGAAGGTAGTCAGTTTCCACGAGCGAAAGCGGCGCTCTTGAATGATTTCTACATTGATGATTTTATTGGAGGGGCAGACTCAGAAAGCGAAGCTATATTGTTGCGACAAGAGTTGGAGCAGTTGATGTCTAAAGATGGTTTTAGACTACGAAAATGGGTCAGCGACGCCAAGAGTGTGTTGGCGGGTCTAGCCGCAGATGAATTGGGAACTCAATCCTCACTTAATTTCGACCAGGAACTGGTGAAAACCCTAGGAATTCACTGGCAACCAGGGCCAGATTTGTTGGGTGTAGACGTATCGGGTCTCGCTGTAAACCGACAGTGGACAAGGCGCAAGGTTTACTCCGTCATTGCTCAACTATGGGATCCTTGCGGTTTCACGGCTCCAGTCATCTCGTGGACAAGATTCACATGCAGCTATTGTGGGTAGCCTCTCAAGGTTGGGACGATCCATTGTCGCAGGACTTAGCTAGTTGCTGGACGGATTTTTATCAGCAGCTGCCCAAACTCTCGGATATCAAAGTGGACCGGCACGCATTCACTAATCATCCAATTCTGATCCAATTTCACGTCTTCTCGGATGCGTCCGAAGCAGCTTACGGCGCGTGTATCTACGCTAGATCCATCAACCAACTGGGGCAGATAAAGGTGGAACTCTTGGCGGCAAAATCTCGTCCAGCTAGTTTGAAGAAGACTACTCTCGCAAGGTTAGAGTTATGAGGTGCCTTCATAGCAGCAAAACTATATCGTTCGACCGTCAAGGCACTCGGGATGAATGGAACTGAAACTTGGTTCTGGTCAGATTCGACAGTTGTGCTATCGTGGTTGAAGCGGCCATCGTACGTGTGGCCAACATTTGTTGCGAATCGTGTTTCGCCTATTCACCGCTGGAATCATGTCAAGGGCACGGAGAATCCAGCCGATCTTGTTTCTCGGGGGATAATGCCAAAGGATCTCGTCAATATGCAGCACTGGTTCCATGGGCCACCCTGGTTATCCTTGCTTGATCAACATTGGAATACCGAACAAAACTTGAAGTACGAGAAACCATCGGAGGAGTTGCTGGAGAAAAAGAAGAACGTCTTTGTGGCGGTGGGTTTTCCACAACCTCACCCACTTTTGGATAATTACTCATGCTATTGGAAACTTTTGCGGATTACGGTGTACTGCATAAAATTCATCCGTAACTGCCGTAGATCATCTACAAAAACTCGGAATGTCAGCGTGAAGGAGCTGCAGGCGGCCAAGTACGCATTGGTACGGTGTATTCAGCGGGAGCCATACGCTACGGAGATCAAAGCCCTCGCCAACCATTGACCCGTTCCTGCTCATTCACCCTTGAAGCTGCTCCATCCGTTCCTAGATCAACAAGGCATAATTCGCGTTGGTGGCCGGCTAAATCTCGCCGATAAATCATACGCCGTCCGACACCCCATGATTATCCCTAGTAACCACTCTTTCTCGTGGCAAGTAGCTGTCGCATACCATAACCTATCGCTCCATTCTGGCCCCCGAATGACGCTCGCTCAAATATGGCAAGAATTTTGGCCCCTACGGGGTAAGGCACTGGTAACTTATACTTTCGGAAACTGCATTCGCTGCTTTCGAAGCAACCCTGTCCCTATATCCCAACCACCTGGTCAACCCCCAAGTCCTCGTACAACTCCCACTCGTGCATTTGCGGTCACTGGTGTGGATTATTGTGGTCCAGTCTACCTAAAGCCCGCACATCGTCGAGCAGCTGCGCTGAAGGCCTACATCGCAGTTTTCGTGTGTTTTAGCACGAAAGCGGTCCATCTCGAGCTGGTAGGGGACCTCACCACGGCTGCTTTCATGGCTGCGCTGCGACGATTTGTATCCCGTCGAGGGTTACCTACTGAGATCCATTCGGACAATGGTCTGAACTTCCAAGGGGCTAGCAACCATCTACGAGAGCTTTACGACCTTCTATCCGATCCAGTTGCAAACTCAGAAATCGCTAATGAAACTTCTAAGCGTGGCATCGTTTGGAAATTTATCCCACCAAGAGCACCAATCTTTGGTGGCCTTTGGGAAGCCACCGTGCAATCTTCCAAGACGTCATTGCTCCGAGTCTTGGGCCAACGAAAATTGTCGTTCGAAGACATGACCACCATCCTCACCCAGATAGAAGCGGCCATGAACTCTCGTCCGCTTACGCCACTGTCGGAAGATCCTGATGAGCTAGACGTGCTCACTCCCGGACATTTTTTAACCGGCTCATCGTTGCTGGCGATTCCCGATCCGGACTACACGGAGGTTCCTACGAACCGGTTACAGCACTACCAGGAACTGCAACAACTAGTACAGCAGCATTGGAAGCGATGGAGGCGAGAGTACATCTCACAGCTGCACAACCAGAATCAACGATTCCCTCAAGCAACCCTGCTGAAGGTGGGTCAAATGGTGGTTCTGAAGGAGGATGGATCCGCAGCCATCGAGTGGCCTCTAGACCGAATCATTGAAGTCTATCCCGGTCCCGGCGGTGTTATCAGGGTAGTGTAGGTACCCACACCGAACGGTGCCATCTACAAACGACAGGCGTCACGTATATGTTTGCTGCCATTCGAGAAGGCCTTGACTGGGCAGTCCACCAACACCTGCTATTCTCAACCGTCAGGTGCAACCCCGAAAGATGTAAACGCTGCAAGTCCAGAAAGTGCAACGTAGTTCCTGAGAAGAATACAGTATCATATCGTGAAACTTCCAGCATCTTTAATCTTAAGCAGCTTAGTTAAGATTTTTGAATTCATAAATCCCTTAACATAATTTAGGTGGTCGGCATGTTAGGTACAATACAAAAAACCTTCAGATGCGTTCCTTCCGAGCGCCCCCCGTGTAGCATAACTTCTATTGCTTTCGGTTGTCTCTCTTGGATGTCTACACGGGAAAGCTATTGATACTGAATTGTAACGCTTCTCGATTAGAGCTACACACATATTGTATTTTTTGTTGATAGTTTTTCTGCCTAACTCAGTACCAATAAAAACGACAAGTCGATCGGTCACCGTTGTCGTAAAATTAGAAAAATACAATTTCGCGAGTGTTTTCTTTCAATAACGTTTCTCGACAATTCCACGGCCATAAGCGAGACTTTATAACGAAGTCCGAAACAGAAGTTTGCAGCAAAACGGGTGTCCAAGGTGCGTTCTTGAAGGGTCCGAACAGAACTGTTTTGCTTTTATTGGCAGTATAAATCCCTTTGGTCGTATGAACAAGCTTTAAAATAGAATTTAATTGAGAGGCAACTTTATGCACTCCGATTCCTGCGGGTACCACCTCCAAGGCTCACGCAATTGCCCATTTCACTCAAATCTGATTTAATTTCGGGGACCGTTTCCACGGTTCTGTCGATCGTACGTTCCAGTCATTAATTCTCTCCCTGTGGGACTCGGTGCGGTCGGAGGGTCAGACCTCCTGCCTGGCATAATTAAATAGCGCACTGAACAAAACCTCAATTGGACTCTTTCTTCGACTGTCGAAGAAGGACAACCACAACAACAACAACCAACTGCCATACTCGACATTCTTCTTCCTGGCGTTGACGCTCTCACACGAGCTTATGCATGCCCTCAACTCGGTGTTCTTTGAAGGACTTTCACAGTTATTATTTGAGGGCTTTCTATGTATATTGTGAAGCCAAGCCAAGTCCAACCTGAAATTTTGTTTAAATCAGACCAGCAATCGAACCCACCGCCGGCAGCCTAATACTACTATACCCAACTAACTAGACTATCTGAGGCCCCTATTCCTAAAAGCCGTAGTCGTACTCGTAAAAGCAGTAAATTACTGCTCATTTAACACGCCAACCACGCACATCTAATTAGGCATTCTACTCGAGTGAGACTCTCGAAGTTCACGGCTCGAAGACCGACCCAGTATTACTTTTTCCGAACAGAAGCATAATTACTCGGACTGCGGTTTCCCGTGGTGGGTTCATTTTTTTTTATCACTAACCAATCAGCACAAAGCTGGTAATCGAATTAACTTTATCCTTTTTTTCCATCAACTTCCTCGCTTCCTTCCAATTATGGCATTGTTTGCCTTTACCTTCACTTTCAATTATGCGATCAGTCCTCGTAGATTATGTTTAATTTCCTTTGTTGTTTTCTTTTTTTTTGCAGGAAGAAACACCAAAACAAACCAAATCAAAAATACGCTTTCGGCTGAAGAAAAAGTTCGGCAATCCAGCCAAATCGGCAGCGTCCTCGCTGGGACTGGTAGAGGGCAACTCGACCAACACCGTCAACACGGTCGAGGACACCGAGGGCAGCTCGAATGCGGAGCGGAAGGCCGGTGTCGAGACGGCTTTCAGCAGTGACGAGGTGAGGGCGATGTGGTTGAAGACTATTGTAGGAAAAACAACTTTTGCCCTGAGGATTTACTAAACTATTCCAATTTGTTGGCGAATTTGTTTAGGTGGGGGGCAAGTTATAGGACGGGAATGTCTCAAGCTAATAGTAATCTATGCTAATAGGTCAAATCATTCGAGACTGTTGACTGACATTTAGGCGCCATGAGAGCATTCTTAAGATTCTAAGAAAGATGGCGTTTGCAGTGGAACTAATCTCGCCATCCAGAAGTCATACAGATTAGAAAATTAAACGCGATGCTTGCAACTCCGCAGCAAAAATAGATTAATTTTGAACTTTGTGGATTACGTAGTCGTCCGTGAGAATGAGAAGTTAAAAAGTAAATTTTATATAAAAAAGCATTAAGTCGATTAACAGCACAGTTTACAAAAAAAAAGAATGACATCCTATTCGTTTTTTTTTTAACTGGTTCGTTTATTTACTAGGCTCAGTCGTGTGTGACACTTTGCGGAGCCAAAATCAGTAATGTTTGATTTACATTTTAAACAGCAGTATTTCTAGGTTAGTATTGGGTACCAATTACTCGTGGCGGGCTCGAGGTTAATAGGTAACAATTTCAATTGGAAGGATCTAGGTAGGAAACTGGTTTCTGAAGCCTCCTTCAGATACTACTCTCGGAAGGTTGACCAAATCCTGGCTGGGCAGGGGCAAGTAGCACAGGAACAGGAGGATAATAAGACTGGGACACAATGGCGGGAAATTGTTTGGAAAGGAGGGGATAGTCACATCAAACTCTAACATCAGACAAACAAAGGAATTCGTAGATCGCTTGCATGTAGGGAAGATCACGTGTTCCCAATACATCTCTTACTTCACGGAAGGGTTGTCTACCTCGGGCCACTAGGGTATCCAATAGTCGTGCTCTGGAGGCGTCATTACCCGGGCAATACCAAACTGCGTGATCGATGTCATCATAACCGGTTCTGCACCTACATATATTGCTGTCAACGAGGTTTGTTCTATAGAGATGTGCGTCTAGCGAGTAGTGGTTGGACATAAGTCTTGACATCACTCGAATGAATCCCCGACTTACATCCAGACCTTTGAACCACGCTCTCGAAGAAACATTTGGAATAATGGAATGTAACCACCGCCCAAGAGAATTATTTGTCCAATCGTTTTGCCAACTTAAAAGAGAACTCTGACGTACTAATGGGAAAAATTCATCATGCGAGAGAGTCTGCCTTCTCATTGCCTGGGATTGAGCAATGTGAGGGGACCCATACAAAGGTAATCATATATGATCTTTCGACCAGCAAACTCATCTGCTCCCTTACCTTTGAAAGGAAATAAGATGAGTGCCTACCTTGTTTCATCGACCGAATAGCCTCAATCGAACTGAGACTATCCGAGAAGATGAAGTAATGGTCTATGGGCATATCGGAAATCATCCCCAATGCGAAGTTAATTGCTGCTAGCTCAGCAACATAAACGGAACAAGGTTCCTGAAGTTTCCGAAAGGCGGTTGAGTATTCATTGAAGACGCCGAAGCCAGTGGATCCATCAATGCGTGATCCATCAGCAAAAATGTGGGGAATTGAGATAGGTCGAAGTTGATCTGGAACTCCTTGAATAGCCTGTTTCATGGAGAGATCGTAGTCAATGGGGGAACTGTAGTTAGTAAAGCATAAAGGGTGATACGGTCAAAATTTGGTCAATATCAACTTGACGTATTTCTTTCAATTTTGCATTTAAAAAACCTGAACACCCCTCATTTTGAAGGTGTGTGTGTGTAGAATGTTGCTCCTATTTTGATTTTGGAATTCACTATTCAGTTGTCAAAATGCCGTCCAAGCATCGTGAAAATCCGAGCTACTCGCACGCAAAGTTGGCAAAATCGCTAAAAGTTGCCAAATCAACCGTTACAAATGTAATTAAAGTGTTTGGGGAACGTTTGTCGACAGCCAGGAAGTCTGGATCGGGGGGAAATCGAAAACCGGAAGCCGCTGAGACGACAAAGAGAGTTGCCGGTAGTTTCAAGCGAAACCCTAACCTCTCTCTCCGAGATGCCGCAAATAAGCTGGGTGTATCGTCTACAACCGTGCATCGAGCCAAAAAACGAGCCGGACTATCGACTTACAAGAAGGTAGTGACTCCAAATCGCGATGATAAACAAAATACGACGGCCAAAGCGCGATCCCGGAGGCTGTACACGACGATGCTGACGAAGTTTGACTGCGTGGTAATGGACGACGAAACCTACGTCAAAGCCGACTACAAGCAGCTTCCGGGACAGGAGTTTTATACGGCAAAAGGAAGGGGAAAGGTAGCAGATGTTTTCAAGCACATGAAACTGTCAAAGTTCGCAAAGAAATATCTGGTTTGGCAAGCCATCTGTACCTGTGGCTTGAAAAGCAGCATTTTCATAGCTTCCGGGACTGTCAACCAAGAAATTTACGTGAAAGAGTGTTTGAATAAACGTCTGCTGCCTTTCCTGAAGAAACACCGTTGTTCCGTACTGTTTTGGCCGGATTTGGCATCTTGCCATTACGGTAAAAAGGCCATGGAGTGGTACGCCGCCAACAACGTGCAGGTGGTTCCCAAGGACAAGAACCCTCCCAACACGCCAGAGCTCCGCCCAATTGAGAAATACTGGGCTATTGTCAAGCGGAACCTAAAGAAGACCAAAAAAACTGCTAAGGGCGAGCAGCAGTTCAAGGCAAACTGGCTTTCTGCGGCGAAGAAGGTGGACAAGGTGGCTGTACAAAATCTGATGGCAGGGGTCAAGCGTAAGGCCCGGCAATTCGGATTTGGAAAAGCGGAAGCCTAACTGAATATTTTTCCTGAATTTTATACTAATTGAACTTGAAAAAGAAATTTAATTTGATTTTTTAAATAAACGATTTCACCGATTTACACGCGTTTTCCCTTGACCAAATTTTGACCGTATCACCCTTTACACGAGAGGGGTTATAGCAAGGAAGGCTAATATCCGATGACATATAATTAAGATTGATTCGCACGAATCTAGACTGGATGCTCAATTCGAGCATTTCTTCGAAGTTTTCAATCACAAGGTTGTTACTGACACTACATTTAATCAATATTCTTAAAGAGAGCTCCCAGAATCGGGTCTGCAGGGGTTTTACGCCCGCTAGGACCTCTAGGCTCATATTGTGTGTTGAATGCATACAGCCAAGGGCAATACGTAAACAACGATATTGAATACGTTCCATTTTGATTAGGTGGCTTTTTCTTGCCGAGTGGAAGCAAAAAGAGCCATACTCAAGAACTGAAAGAATAGTCGTTTTATATAGTTTAATGAGGTCTTCCGGGTGAGCACCCCACCATGTCCCGGAAATTGATCGTAGAAAGTTGATCCTTTGTTGACACTTTTGTTTCAAATACGTAATGTGGGTACCCCAAGTGCATTTTGAATCAAACCAGACTCCAAGGTATTTGAAGGTTAAAGATTGGGTAATGTCTCTGCCCAAAATATTTAGACGCAGTTGGGCTGGAAACCGCTTCCTTGTAAACACTACCAATTCAGTTTTTTGCGGTGAAAACTCGATCCCTAAATTTCTTGCCCAGAGAGACAGATTATTTAAGGAATTTTGCAATGGTCTTTGCAAGATTTCTGCACGTGGACCTCTCATGGAAACCACGGCATCATCTGCAAGCTGTCTAAGCGTGCGTTGATTATCTAAGCAGTTATCAATATCTTAGACATAGAAGTTATAAAGTAAGGGACTTAAACATGAACCTTGGGGTTAGCCCATGTTGCTAATTCTAGAAGTTGTCAGTTGACCTAGATTGAAGGTCATTTGTTTTTCTGACAGCAAATTATACAAAAAATTATTCAAAATACCGGGTAATCCACTACTGTGCAAATTGTCTGACAGTATGTCTATGGAAACCGAATCAAATGCGCCCTTAATATCCAAAAAGACTGAAGCGAATTGCTCCTTGTGCGCAAAGGCCAGTTGAATATCAGATGAAAGCATCGCTAGACAATCGTTTGTTCCTTTACTCTTCCGGAAACCAAATTGCGTATTTGAAAGTAGATTGTTTGATTCAACCCAATGATCAAGTCTTAATAGGATCATTTTTTCTAATAATTTCCTCAGGCATGATAACATAGAGATCGGACGGTAAGAATTGTGATCAGACGCTGGTTTCCCAGGCTTTTGAATAGCTATTACTTTAACCTGTCTCCATGCTGGTGGAACTATATTGAATTCCATAAATGAATTATATAGGTTAAGTAATCGTCTTTTAGCGATATCGGGGAGGTTTTTTAGAAGGTCAAATTTGATCATATCGCTTCCCGGAGCAGAGTTATTTGATGAAAGAAGTGCCATTGAAAATTCCAGCATTGTGAATGGTTCATCCAGAGAACCGTTACTTCGGGCTGTATCCCGTAAAGTTGGTTGTGCTGGAACAGAATCTGGACAAACCTTTTTAGCGAAGTCGAATATCCATTGGGAGGAGTATTCTTCACTCTCATTGGAAGATGAGCGGTTTCGCATATAGCGAGCCTTTTCCCAAAGCGTTGTCATCGAGGTTTCTCTAGAAAGTCCCTCGATAAAAGTACGACAGTAGTTTCGTTTCTTTGCTTTTAGTAAGTTTTTAAGCTTTTTTTCAAGCTTTAGATACTTTTCAAAAAGCTCAGATCTTTCATGTCTACGATAATCTTTAAAGGCATCGGATTTCTCAAGATACAACTTTGTGCATTCGTCATCCCATCCAGGGGTGGCGGGTCTTCTTTTGAGCGATGCACTTGGAACACGTCGTTTCTGAGCTTCTAATGCGCTTTTGTAGATTAGCTCGGTAAAGAAACGATACTCTTCCAGTGGTGGTAGAGGATCGGTAGAATCAATACCAAGAGTTACCGCCGATACAATTTTTCGCCAATCAATGTTCCTCGTGAGGTCAAAAGGAACTTGAATTGACTGAACTGTTTTTAGACGACCACTTTTGATTGAAATAATAATTGGCAAGTGATCACTACC